AACCCGTTGCCCGATACTAAAGGTAGGAGGCCAGAAACCGGGAAACCCGGGCGTAACAACGAGAAGCCCGTTGCCTGGCTAGGAGGTCCGGAACAGGACTGGTGCCGGCTCATCCGTCGAGCCGGCTTATATACCCTGCCGGCGGTTCCCCCACTCTACCTCGAGGATGTGTGGTGGGGTAACGCCGGCGTCGTAGTGGGGCGCCTCTGGGGGTTTTGTAGGGGCGCCCCTGGGGTAGGGTGACCCGTGTATCAGTTGTGATTTTGTGCTTAGGGGCGCCTTAGGCGCCATAGCCCTCAAGTGGCGGGCGGGTGATCGGCCCGCGAGGCGTTAGTAACGGCTACGCCGTTACACTACCCCCTTTCTAGACGGCGGATCGTACGGGGTCGGCCGAATCGGTCGAACCGTATTATCCACCGTCCAGTGGGGGAGGTGGCTCGGAACTTCCGAGTAGCGTGGGGCGCAGTGCCACGGGACCGCCACCACGTGCCCGTCGTCAAGGGTAACCATGACGACAGGCGGACGCGGGAGGCGGCCTGCGGACCTCCCGAGCTGGTGGTTGGGAGGAGGGCGGCCGCCATGCTGTGACGGCGCCCACCCCCGCCACCCTCTCGGGGAGGGCCCGGCTGGCTGCGCCCGAGGAACGGCGGGACGCCGCGGTAGTTCGGCCCGGACTCCCCTCGGCCGTGGACCCGGCGGTGGCGGCGGCACGGTCAGCAGGATAGCCCTTCGGCGCTCCCGCTGCCCGTCCGACGCTGGACCGAGACCCCCGGCCGAGGGAGCCGGACCGACCGCCGCTGGGGCCTGGTTGACAGGCGGCCCCTTTGGCTCGTCAGCCGTTCCTTCTTCTTTTGCCCAGGTCCAGCGCGCTCTCTTTTAGTGAGTCGAGTGAGAGGGGCGGCGATAGTGGAGAAGTCAGCGATGAATCGGCGGTACCATGACGCTACCCCCAGAAATTGCCGAACCCTGCGGAGGGTCGTGGGGGCAGGCCAATCGGTAATGGCTCGCACTTTTTCTGGGTCCGTCCGGATTCCGTGCCGATCGATAACGTGTCCGAGGTACCGAAGACTTGGCCGGCAGAAGTGACACTTTTCTGGGTTGAGGCGGAGTCGGGCGTCACGGAGGCGGCGAAAAACTTCGGCCAAGTGGCCTAGGTGCTCCTCGAAAGTACGGGACGCGACAACTATGTCGTCTAAGTAGACGAGGACGTGGGGTTCTAACTCGGGTCCTAGCACGGTGTCGAGCAGCCGTTGGAAGGTGGCCGGTGCTGAATGCAGTCCGAATGGCATGACGCGGAACTGCATCAGCCCTCTCCCTGGCACCGTGAAGGCGGTTGCGGGGCGGCTCTCCGGAGTTAGTGGCACTTGCCAATACCCGCTGCGTAGGTCCAACGTGGACAAGTAGTGTGCGCCTCGTAGCTTATCTAAGGTGGCGGCAATGTGAGGCAGCGGGTATGCATCTTTTTCTGAGGCCGCGTTTAATCGGCGGAAGTCTATACAAAATCGGTAGGTCCCGTCTTTCTTCTTTGCCAGCACTATCGGAGAGCTCCAGGCGCTGGTGGAGGGCTCGATGACTCCTTCGGCTTCCATCTTTTGGACCTCTTGGTCGATCACGGCTTGCATGGCCGGATTACGGGGCCGATATCGTTGTTTAATGGGCGGCCCCGGTTTTAGCCGAATTTGGTGTGTGGCTTTGTCGGTCGGGCCGCGGACCGATTCGAACTTTGGAAGTTCGTTATTTAGAAAGGCCTGTAGCCTTAGCGCCTCGCTGGTAGTTCCTGGGCTGATACTGGCTGTCGCGATTCCATCTTTGGTTGTTGTCTCGGTGACAGGTCTGGGCGGCGGGCGCAGCTCGACTCCTAATTTCGCCCAGAGGTCTATGCCTATTAGTACGGCGTTGTCTAGTTGTGGTAGTACGGAGAAGCGGTGGCGGTACGATTTTCCTGGTAACCTGACCGTTGCTTCGATGGTCTCGGCAATGGGGACTTGCGTCCCGTCGGCCAGGCGTATCTGGGCTGCCTTGAGATCTGGGCTAGACGGTGTGCGGTTGATTCGGCGGGCCGTTTCAGCGTTTACAAATGAGATCTCTGAGCCGGAATCGAGGAGGCCCCACAAATGTTGTCCGGCGATCTGGATCCGGAGGTGCGGTCTCGGTTGTATTTTAGGTCGAGTCGGGCTGGACGACGGCCGCGACGTCTCCGGCCCGCACCCCGTTTCCCGTCGGGGGTGGCAGTCACGGGTGAGGACCCCGTCCTTGCCACATCTCGAGCAGAATTTCTTCGGAGGTCGCTGGCAGTGCAGGCGTGTATGTCCTCGTTGCTTGCACCTCCAGCAACATTCCTCCCGACTGTAGACCGCGGAAGCTACGACCGGGGTGTGGCTTTGCGGCACGTCCCTTCGTCGTTCCTGTCTTCGGCGGTCGGCCTCTTCGTATTCGGTGGCTCGGATGCTCAGATCCCCGACGCTGAGCACGTCCGCCCGACGGATGTACAATTGGTACTCCGGATCCATGTTTTCGTAGAGCTGTTCCAGTTGGTCTAGGGGTGAATATCCCCGGCGCGCCGCATCATGGTCAGGACCTCGGTGGCGTACTTTTGGAAGGACTCTTTAGGGCGTTGTTGACGTCCCTGGATCGTCCTTTTCATCTGTCTCTCATACCCGCTTGGCAGGTATTGCTGGCGGACAGCTTGGCGAAAGTCGGCCCAGCTGGCTATGGTATCGCGGATGTTGCGATACCACAGCAGGGCGTCTCCCCGTAAGAGTTCGGGTAGCCCTAACAGCATCTGGGCGTCGGTGTAGCCGTAGCCCAGGCACAGCTCTTCCGTACGCTCGAGGAATGCCAGGGGGTCCTTGCCCTCGAAGTGGCACCCCCATTTTCGGATCTGGTCCATGATCCTGGCTGGTTCAACAGGTGTCGGGGTGGTAGCTTCTTCGTCTTTGGTTGGGCTTCCGGTGGCCATTTCGACGTTGATAGTGGGCACAGGTAGGTGAGTTCGAAATAGCGCGGGGTTTTGCCCGACAAATCGGCGGAGGCGTCGGCGGACCTCGTCTAAAGTTCCTTGGCTATCGATTCCGTGTCTTTTGGCCAAGGCAATAGCTTCGGTTTTTGATAATTGATTTACCCACGCGGGCATCTGGATAGGCTTAAGCGAGTCGGGATCTCCACTGGGCAGGTCCCTGTTCGGGCGCCATGTAACGGTTCACCTTTCCCGACGCCGCGGATCGGCTCGCCGGTTCCAGGATTCGGGAGGAAGGGGGAGATTCAGGCTCGCTTATTCCTTATTAACAATACTTTGGTTTATTCAAAAAGAAACAAGTAAACAAAATGATTGTTGGCATAAAGCCTAAATAGAGAAACTTACTGATTACTCGGTATAAACGAAATGTTTGTTGGCATAAAGCCCTAAATAGAGAAACTTATTGACTACTCGGTATAAACAAAATAAGGAGGCGTATAGCCTGTAGCGGTGTCCGGAAATGATTTACAAATTACCCGGTATAACTTAGAGATACGGTGTACGGAGGCGTATAGCCTATGGCAGGAAGAAACCGGAAACCGGGAAACCCGGCGTAATGACGAGAAACCCGTCACCCGGTGTATAGCAGGAAGAGACCGGAAACCGGGAAACCCGGCGTAACAACGAGAAACCCGTTGCCCGGCGTGTAGCAGGAAGAGACCGGAAACCGGGAAACCGGCGTAACAACGAGAAACCCGTTGCCCGGCGTGTAGCAGGAAGAACCGGAAACCGGGAAACCCGGCGTAATGACGAGAAACCCGTCACCCGGCGTGTAGCAGGAAGAGACCGGAAACCGGGAAACCCGGCGTAACAACGAGAAACCCGTTGCCCGATACTAAAGGTAGGAGGCCAGAAACCGGGAAACCCGGCGTAACAACGAGAAGCCCGTTGCCTGGCTAGGAGGTCCGGAACAGGACTGGTGCCGGCTCATCCGTCGAGCCGGCTTATATACCCTGCCGGCGGTTCCCCCACTCTACCTCGAGGCTGTGGTGGGGGTAACGCCGGCGTCGTAGTGGGGCGCCTCTGGGGGTTGTAGTGGGGCGCCCCTGGGTAGGGTGACCCGTGTATCAGTTGTGATTTTGTGCTTAGGGGCGCCTTAGGCGCCATAGCCTCAAGTGGCGGGCGGGTGATCGGCCCGCGAGGCGTTAGTAACGGCTACGCCGTTACATTGTATTCAACATTTTTCTTTAATACAGTTAATATAAAAGCTAAGTTATGCATAAATTTTATACAGAATTTATTAAATTCTTGGAATTTGAAATCCGTATGTGAGAACTGATGAATACTGATAAGTTTGAATGACTTAATTATTTAAATAATTAAATTTAATTATTTAATTAAAAGTAGCTCCGATGGCGCTGATGCTATTTAATTTTTCACTCCCAACTTTTGCCGAGAAAAAAATATCTTTTACAAAAATTTCATTGATTTCTTCAAAATCAATAATTGAAACTAATAATTACTAAAATGTAAATCATATTAGAGAAAATAATAATCAAAACCGAATTATTGTGATCATAAAAATCTAAAATTTCAATTATTTAAGTATTAATGTTACAATAATTTTATGATGATATATTTATATAATTAAGTTATAAATATTATATTAATATTGTGAATTCTTATTACAATTTACAATATTATAAATAAACATATTTTTATTTGATATATACATATATTAACAATTTATAATAATTTCAGTAATTTTGTAACAGCTTTCTACAGCTCTACATATATTGAAAATTGAAAATAATATCAGCCTACAATTAACAATATTATAAATATTTATTTAAAAAAATGTAACATAATCTTATTTGAATATGAAAAAGAAACGAGACAAAATAATATGCTTTTGCTACAAAATCCGAAAATATGTGAATTATAATTATTAATCTAAAACATAAAGATCAACATAAATAAACATGACTTTAATTTTCGAATAAAATTAAAGATCGGTCATATCAGTGTAACTTTATGTTCGTCCGGAAGAAATCATTTTCTCCTGTATGACTATTTCTTTTTACGTGGTAATAATGCTCGACAGTGTTGCACTGGATCCGTGTCAAACTTTTGGCTACAAACCGCAGCCGAATCGTTTGAATAACATACGCTTGATTCTTTTTTTACACACAAATATGATAAAGACGCATAGACTCTGCATAAAGTCCAGCAAATGAATAACATACCAGTAGTAAATTGATTGATTTTTAGTTAATTCACCCACTGCGATAATGAGCCATTCTATGCCTATTACCATAAACCGCACGATAAATAGCTGCAGATATAGATTAAACCTGCAAACAAATATATAATTTTCATAGTTCTTGTGATAATATATGATGAATAAAATTAAATTGATGTATAAGCCTTAAGAAATTTTTAAAATTTGTATTTTTGTGAAATAAAGGTGCATTCTTTAAGTTGATTTTCGTTATTAATTGTCATGTTATTTAAAATTGTATAGATTTTCGAAAGAACACGTAAAATAACATATTCTCGAAAATATTACAAAATAAAAAAATAAATCGGCGAATAGAAAAAATATCATCTGCAAATGACAAACTATGACCAGTATTCATAAAAATTTAATTGATGTATAAACCTTAAGAAATTTTGAAAGTGTTTAAAATTTTTATTTTTGTGAAATACAGGTCATTAATTAGATGTTCGTTATTAATTGTCATTTTGTTTAGATTTGCATAGATTTTCGAAGAAACATGTTTTGTGATATATTCTTGAAAATATTACAAAACAAGTAAATCGGCGAATAGAAAAAATGTCATCTGCAAATTACAATTTATTGCCAGTATTCATAATCTGAATTTATATTTAATATCGTTTTAAATTTGATTTTGACTTAAAATTCCATTCAACCAATCAAGTTCGGACTTAAAATTAAATTGTACGATCGGACTATTAATTATTAATATCAGCCTATTTTTCTCTTTTATAAAAAAAGAATGCGAAGCAATCAATTATGCGACGCTGTTTGCATAAATGTTTATAAAAGTAGCATAAATTTTATTAATATAATAAATTATCATATCTCAGTACAACAATATCTGAATACATACCATTTTTTATTATTGTTATAGCACTTGCTTTCCGAATCGTTCAGACGATGACCTGTATCCTTTTTTAAACGTTCAATTTTTAATGCCGTAAAAATAAATAAACAAATGCTACTGATGATGCACATATTTTCGAGTCCATAATAATACAAGTAATACGGACCATTCTCTGTAAGTATAAAATATTATGAGTTTTTATACCGTTTTTCACAATACTAGCATGCTATAGCATTAATAGTTATCTTACTTACCATTGAACCAGCAATCTCCTAAATGAAATTCCGGTCGCAAAATCGGTGGTACATTTACATACGCGGAAAGAATATCCATGCTGACACATAAAAAAGCAAGCATAAAGGGACATCCCCACGCAAAGATCGTATAATATATCAACTTTCTGTTTTCTCGTGTGACGTTTCTTCGTAACGAACTGAATCCTCTGCAATTTACACAACATATTTAACAAACAATAGATAAAAGAAATCAGAATGTGAAAACGTTTAAATAATGTGTCTTTGATCAAGTCATTATATCATACTATAGAGTAAAGATTCAGCTTGAAGAATCTATTCTTAAAATTGCTGTACGATAATTTTTAAGGATGTTATGCACGATTAAAGTGAAAATGACATTTTCTCTTCAATTTGCGATAACTTCATATGTAAAGATCGACATTTAAAAAAAAACAATTTTGCAGAAAAAACTTTAGTCTGTAACATGGAAGTGTCAAGAAATTTATCAAATTTATTTGTGTCTGCGACACGTCTACAAAGTGAGAAAAAATTTTCCATTTCGTTATGTTTCTCGTTTTTCGTATATAAAAAATATTAGAATTAAAGAGAATGAAAAAAGCTGTATAATCATTGAAAGAGATTTTAAGATTTAAATCTCTTTTTTAAATTTTAAATTCTCATTATTCGAAACAAAGTTACAACTATTTAAAATTTGTTTATTTTTGGACTATTGTTCTTTTTTGATGCTTTAATTATTTTAAGGCGTATATTTACATAACTCTTATGCAGACACGACAATGGTACTTTAAATTGTTATTAACTTTTGAGAGACGAATTTTTATTACAAAATCTATTTTTATATTTTGTAAAAAATTATCGTGTATTGCTTTATTTTATAAATTAAAAAAGAAAAACGTCAAATCAAAATATTATTGCATTATATCAAATAATTAGATTCCGTTATTATATTTTATACACATTTAAATTAAATATATAATATGCTTATTATATCTAATACACTATTTTTACTTTAAAAAAAATAACCGTTTAAAAATCTGTAATCAATTAATAAAAATATCCATGAAAACTATATTTATTTTAAATTATAATTTGAACCTATTCTATCTTCATACTCTAACTTATAATGTCCAAAGTCAAATATAGTTGTTTTTGCACGTACCAATACAATAATATATAAAAAAATTTGATTAATACGAAATTTTACATATTATATATTCTCTATTTTTATCTTTAAACCGATATATGTAAAATTAAAAAGAAAAAATTTCATAAAGATAAATGTAAGACAAGTGTTAAAAATAAGAGAGTAGTAATAATATAGAATATTTTCCAAATTTACCTGAATGTGCACCACATATCAAAGCTTATTATATTTAGCCAAAAGAATCCCGCCAGAAAACAAAAATATCTTATAAAGGCTGTAAAAATGAATAAAATTAAAGGCAGTAATAATTAGAAATAAATAATAGTATACAATATTATTAATATAAATATAAATGTATAATATGTAATTTGCTCTTATAGTTAAAAAATAAATAAGCAGCAGGTAATATGCCAAAAAGCAACACAAAGTATAATTTGGTTGCAAATGTAACTTTATTTAATTAAAACTTATTTTATTAAATAAGGGAACTTCGTATTTGCGACCTTATTAATTTGTGTTGCTCTTTTGACTTATTTCTTACTCCTTATTTATTTTTATATTATTAATAAATAATAATATATTATATAATAAAATATATATAATAAATATTATTATTAATTAGATAATAATATATTATACATATTTATCATTGCTCGTTAAAATTACAAGATCTTAAATTTATCAGATTTACGCTTTTCCATTAATATAGATTTACTTTAACTTACTACAGTTTACTACACTAAATTATATAGTAATATTTACTTAATAAATACTGCTAATATCAAATTAAACATGTTTAAATCAATATGTAATCTTGCAAAATTCTAAAACGCAAAAGAATATATCTATTTGAGATAAATAACTTATATTATTTATATATTAAAATGCAATTTAATAAAATTTAAATGCTATTCACTGTTTTGCATTTTTAAATTTAACAAATAATATATTCAGATAACATTTAAAATTATTAATTAATATTTAGTGTGCAAATTTAATGTGCAAATTTAATACCTATGCAATATTTAATATACAATAAAAATCTGACAAATATATATACGTTATACTAATTGCATAGTCTTATGAATTAGATATATACTCTACCTATTGTAACGCAGACGGGATATTGTACATCATTCGAATTGATAAAAAAATCCACAGTGTCAAATCCGTATGCAACAAACAAGGCACCGCTGTAATTGCGCAACATGAAGCCTTGTACATTTCGGAGTTCTGGCAATATGGAATACACCAGAAATACTAACCCCAAAGGTAATATAGACAATATATATGCACTTAGTTCCATAATATCATCAGAAGACAAGGGTTCATTATCAATTATCTCCTTGATCTTGTCATAAGTTTTGGAACAGATGGTTACTTCGAACTCATTCCCGTCGACGACGGCGAGACAATATGATGTCGATTCAACAAATATTTTATAATAAGGTAAATATATAGAACCGTTGGTAAAAATCTTATAATCGTACTGAAAACCTTCGAAAAGCAGAACGTGATTATCCTGGCACGAATCATAAATGGCCAGATTAAACAATTCGTTTATTCTCTTTTCGCTCTGCGTCGAATCGTTCGTGTATACTTTTGGAAAAATGTATTCAATTTCTTCAGGAATGCACTCATCAAACAGACGATCGCCAAGAGAACAGCAGAGCCGAATGCAAGTATCATTATAACACATTTCGTTAGGGACGATGTTAGTTCTGTTAGCATCTTTGCTAAAATTTTTGAGAACTTCAAGTGACATGGAATCATTCTTTTCAATTACATTTTCATAAACTTCCTGCGGCGTGAAATTCCTTTTATGATTGACATTTGTCAAATTCGTGTTAGATTTTATCGATTTTTGCTCATCATCTTTATTCTGCATTGAATGCTTGTAACGTTTATGTTGAATCAAATCATTATCCTCGCGTTTATTATTCATATGAAATTCATGCTGCATTTTGTCATTTTGTGTATTGTTCATCAAATTTTTATGCAAATTATGTCGGAATGTTATTATCTCGTATCGCATCGTCAAATTATCATTTCTGTTGGTAAAACTTTGCTGCGATTTCGATAACGAAATAACGAAAAGAAGCACGAAACACACCAATGCAAACTTTTTTCCACTCATTATGTCACATAAAAATATAGTTTAGAATAACGAGATAATCAAATTTAGTGTTCATATAATTTTTCATGTAAGTTTTAAATTCGCAATAATTAAAACATGTCACATTAAATTTATGCTTTGCTGTTCTATTAGTTTCAATAAAATGTGTCAAGTGCAAAATATAATAAAATAAAATTATCTTATTTTGTTTCTCAGCAAAATCTCGAAATGTCGATTTGATTTTGGCACCATTACTATTATTATTGGTGATTGCACGTCTTGAATTTTAATTATCTCATTAGATAAAGTCAGTACTATATCACTGTATTCGGCTTTTTCTCGTTAGAAGAATGCACAAGATACATGTTTCTGCGCGGGAGAGAAGCTGAGACTACCAAGCACGACGAGTCGTCGATAGGTTTGCAAGAAGCTGTCCGTCTACTATACCACTGACGAGGTACTGTTACGTCAGTGCTGGTATCATGATAAAGGTACGTTTCAGGTAACTCTAAGTAACACCACTGTAAAATTTTCAAAAAATCGATTTTTTTTTTGGGCTTAAAAAATCCTTTGAACCCTGTAGAATACGAGGAAAAAACTTTTATACGTGAAACTAATTTTTTTCATCGAAATTCCGAGCTATGTACTGAACGAGTCGGGCGACTCCGAAACGGCTACCTGCTCCGGGTGGAAACCTGTCGAGAGAGTAGTGCATAATACCTTGCTTATTGATTTCTAAGTTATGTGAGACACTACTAGATGTCTCTAGAGGTAGTTTTAGAAGCATTTTCATATAGAAACACGTGTTTACGCGTCAGTATTGCATTATTTCGTGTACGAAACACATGATTTTCCCTCTTGTAATCAATAACCGTCGTTTATTGTTGTACGTGTGCGCTTCGAGTTGAGCAGTTTTTGTGTAATTTCGGAGTGTTAGCAAAATGAGTGATAAAAAAAAAATGTATTTGCGACAAAAAGGCACAAAAGAATTGCATTCAACGCGGCGTCGAAGCAACGTGTCGAAAAGACGACCGAAGAACAGATTCGAGATTGAAGGTGACGCGGAAGGCGTGAGTGCGTCTGCCAAGAAGTTGAAAACGAGTGAAGATTTTGACGTAAATTATGACTTCAGGTACAGAATTATAAATTTTTTGGCAGTTTTTGCTGTGATTTCACAACATGTGAAGTGTAAAAACTGTAATTCCGATATTACTTTTCGTGAAAGAGATCCTCGTGGCTTAGGCTTCAAAATAGTTATCGCTTGTCCTAATTGCCCGGAAGTTGTAATTCCTAGTTGTAAATATATACGAAACGCATACGAAATAAATCGTCGAATCGTTCTAGCTATGCGATTAATAGGAGTTGGACTAAATGGAATTATAAAGTTTTGTGCTTTCATGGAATTACCACGTCCAATATTCCAATCTTTTTACGATAAATTAGTGAGTATGATTTCAATCGCAACATCAGCAGTAAAAGATTCCAGTTTGAAAAAAGCAGCACAAAAAGAGAAGAAAATGACTGAAGAACATGGACAATCTGCAGGAATAACGGTTTCCGGTGATGGTTCTTGGAGAAAACGCGGATTTTCTTCGCTTTTTGGGATCACGTCATTGATTGGTTGGTTTTCTGGGCAAATTGTCGATGTTGAGGTAAAATCTAAATATTGTAAAAGTTGCGAACAGTGGAAGAAAAAATTGGACACTTGTGACTATGACGAATGGTATAAAACGCACGCCGATGTATGTAAAGCGAACCACGAAGGATCATCGGGAAAAATGGAAGTTGACGCAGTCATCGAGATGTTCCATCGCTCAAAAGATTTGCACGATCTTAAATATTCAAGCTACATCGGGGATGGTGATAGCAAAACATTTAAAGGTATTATCGACTCTGAACCGTATGAAGATTTAGTAGTACAGAAGAAAGAATGCATCTCGCACGTACAGAAAAGAATGGGAACGCGACTTCGTAATCTTAAAAAATCATCGAAAAACCTCGGAGGAAAAGGAAAATTAAGTGCCAAATTAATAGACGAGCTGACTATTTATTATGGTTTGGCCATTCGTCAGAACCCAACATCCTTAGATGACATGAAAAATGAAATTTGGGCGACCTTATTTCATAAGTTATCAACTGACGAAAATCCGCAACACGAGAAGTGCTCGAAATCTTGGTGCAATTGGAAGAAGGCGCAAGAAGCAGATACCTTGGACACTTTCCGTCACAAGTCACCGCTTTCCGAGGAAGTTTACGAAGCCATAAAACCTATTTATGAAGATATGAGTCGGGACGAGTTACTAAACCGTTGCCTGGGCGGTTACACGCAAAATAGTAACGAAAGTTTTAATGCGACAGTGTGGAATTTGGCTCCTAAATCGTATTCAAGCGGCAAGACAGTCCTAAATATAGCAGCGGATATCGCTACATGCGTCTTTAATGATGGAATAACTAATATTTTACGTATTATGCAGCTTCTGGAAATGGAAATTGGCGTCGAAGCATATAATTTTTGCATCGAATCCGATGCAAAACGAATCAAGCACGCAGAGGCACAATTATCAGATGCGGCAAAAAAAGCGCGCTCTGGCATAACATCTGCGAGGAAAGAAATGGAGGACGAATATTCCAACTTAGAAGGGCAGCTTTACGGTGCTGGGATTGCAGACTAATGGTAAAAATTTTTTTTGAGTCGAATTTTAAATTTTTTCATGTTCATAATACAACTCCAAACTTTAAACGCGTTTTTCTCGAAACACGTTTTTTCAACGCGGCAAGCAGTATAACTCTAACAATTTTTAATATTTTCACTTGAATTTTTTACTGTACATTTAAAACAACATTTCGAAGTACAATACGTATAAAATTTTTGATACGTTGCTCTAAACATTTTTTATTGCCAAATAATGTCACTTTTTTTGTCGAAAAATGAACGACTTTATTCAAATGCTCGCCAATCACTCAAAAATCAATATTTCTAAAATCCCATACGTATTGTACTAGATATACCATTGAAGATCATGAGGAATTTTTTTATTTGTTCTAGGTTCAAATTTCCAACGGCTACACTGCTTGCCGCAGACCCTTTTATTTTAAAGGAGCATCGGGAATATGACTGCCATTCCGCCATTTTGTAATATTATTTTATGAAAAAATTTTTACAAGTACTTCAATATATGCTTATTAACTTCACGGAGTATTAATACTTTATTTCATTTCCTTTCATTAAAAAAAAAATGTCGAAAAAGTGCAATTTTTTGGGCCGTTACAGTGGTGTTACCTCGCTACGCATTTTAAATATGTCTGGAACAGTATGTAATTTTATGTTATATCATTCTTACAAAAACAGTGCCGTATCTGTTGTATTTTCACGGGATCAGAACTGTCTGTCTAATTATTATCATTTGCTTATCCATCTCTGCGGCACTGAACATCAAACGCAACGATAAGGATACAAATCTTCGTCTATCAGATTTGGAAAGCAAGCGATATAATGACAATAAGGAATGGTGAGTATTCTGACATTTTTGTAACACTTAGTGAAAATCTTTTATTATCTTAATGAGATTTAAGCAGACATATTTATGTCAATGTCTCTGCCGACAATATCTCATACTTGCTTGATTCGCATTCCAATTGAAGAGAGCAGGCATTTTCACTGTTCTTATTGTTTTTTTATTTTGTTATGTATAATTATATAATCTATAAGAAAAGAAAAACATTTATTGCTTTAACGTGAATCGTATCTTTTCAAAATAGTCGGTAATTTTCGAAATGTCGCAATACATAGTAAAATAAAGTTAATGAATATGCATTTATTTTATAAAGAAAATTACATTTTTAAAAAATTTATTTAAACTACTGTTCCTTTTTTCCCTTTTTTTAAAGATTGTATATAATTCATTCTTTTATTTTTCAATTTTATATTTTGATATATAAAATTTATTATTTTTATTGAAAGATGACTAAATATTAATATATATTTGTTTGCAAATTTAATCTATATATGAAATTTTTTATCGCGTTATATATCATAATGGCCATAAATTGAATCGTGTATACAATATCATGGATACTTAATTCTCCACTAAAATACTCTAGTTATTTTATTTCTTTGTTGTTTACTGTGCAGAATTTCTGCGCTTTTATCGTATTTGTATGGAAAAAGAAGATTAAGTTGATGATATTAAAACGACTCAGAATGCGGGATGAATGAATCGTGGACTACCATGTCAAAGCTGCAGAAAAGGTCGAATTCTTGCAGAGAAGAAAATTGTCACGCGAAAGTTTCGTTTGATGAGATTAAATTCTAATAATGCAGTTATGTTAAAAAAAAGTTTTATCGCAAATCAGGCACCAACGAACAATCAGCAATTTAATATAATTATATTAAAACAGAAATAACTTTACTGTTTCATATTTTGATGTTAACGTTTCTTTATATAAAAGATTTAGTTTAAAATCTTATATAGAAAATTTATCTTAATTTACATATTATTGAATCAAATCAATGATTGCAATACTGTGAAAGACGTAGAAGTGCAAACTGGATTTGCGTAAAATTACACAGTTTTCATCTTAATAAACATATTATGTTGTATAAAGCGCAGTTAAAGAATGAAGCATAAAAAAATTTTCCTGATGTCCGTACCTGAATAATTATTTTCTGAGATAGATTCTTTGATTACATCATACATTTACACCAATATAAATATATAATGTAGATGAAAAACTTTTCATTATTTACTCATTGACTTCATCGTTGTTTTTAAATACTTTAATATTTTTGAAAATATATGTAATAGTTTTATTGATTGAAGATTAATGTTTTAAGCGATTAAACGTGTTGGATAACATCAATTAATTCATCTATCATGAACAGAAGTTTATTAATATTTTTTCTTACACCTTGTATACATGATTTCGCGATAAATAAATTGCCTTCCAACATTATCAACAATTTGTTATTCACGATACATTCTTGTTTGAATGATCGTATTTGTGCTTCTCATGTAATTTTCTCATATGCATGTTAAAATGAATTAATAAAATATGCATAGTCTATTTAACGCAATTACTACCTTTATTTCAATCGAATATCTCTTTGCATGTCGAATTCAGATTGACAAATGTTTTTTAAAAGAAAGATAAAAATTATTTAAATTAAGAATTATAATAAATACATAATAAAATTCGGCGAATTAAAATTATTATTGCACAGCGTTTCGAAATCGTTCTATTTTGTCAATGCATATGAAGCACTTTAATAATTCGGAAAGATTGCTTCCGGGCTTTGCGTAAGATATAATAACTTCTTTTGTGTACAAAAATTTTGTTTGTCAAATTTTTATTATGTATGCACATAATTTTAATTTCCGTATTTTTATTTCTTTTCTATTTTTTTATTTTTTTAATTAAATAAAATTAAAATAATCATCATATAATATGTATATAGTTATTAGTAGGCTTCGGATTATATGCAAATTGCATATTTTTTATTTTTGCATATTCTACAAGAAGATTAATAATGTGAATAAATTATAATTTTTTTAATTAATAAACATTAATGAGTTAAAACTATTATTTTTTCACATTATCAATGCTGTCATAGAATGTGCAAAAAGTAACAATTATGCAATTTGCATATAATTCGAAGTCTAGTTCTTAATGTATAATTTGATAACAGTATACTGACAGTGTGTGCGTGTGTGTGTGTGTGTAAGTGTGTGTGTGTGTATGTGTATGAGTGGGTGTGTTTATGACTGTTTGTGTGTGTGTTTCCTAGAATTAAAATTATTATTGCACAGCGTTTCGAAATCGTTCCATTTTGTCAATCGTATGAAAACTTTAATAATTAGATAGAACAATTCCTTCCGGGCTTTGCGCAAGAATTAATAACTTATATTGTGTACATAATTTCTTTCGTCAAATTTATATTATGCACATAATTTTAATTCCCGAGTTTTTATTTACTTTATTTTTTCATTTTAATTAAATAAAATTGAATAAAATCATTATATAAAAGCAAATTGTTGTGGATTATGTTTCCGAGTATATATCAAAAAACTCAAGATCATATTTCGAAGTTGGTGCATATTGCTGGTATCACTGACGAGATATAGTACCTCGTAAGTAACTATACTATATAGGACTATACACATATAGCTTTTACATACTATAT